GCTGCTGGGAGGGTGACTCTGCAGAGCCAGTGCCCGCATCCTTCACAAAGGACAGCAGTCCCCAAGTCTCCCTGGTGGTCACAGTAGGCATCCCGGCCCATGGGCAGCCAGGCCACAGGCAGATCAGTGACCCCGTCTTGTGTCGCTCCCTTTCTGTAGTTGAGATTCAGGACGAGTTCTGGAGGTTTGTAGAAAACTGCTCCTGAAGCTCCAGATGCACTGCGCTGGTCCTGGCCGCTACCTTGCCTTCCTCCTCCATCTTCCTCCCTTCCGAGACCCCCACTTCCCCAGCTCCCTCTGAGCTGAGGGGGCTGTGCTGCCCTTGCCTGGTGAGGCTTGGGAGGGGTGAAGGCTCAGAGGTGAGGCTGGCACAGCCTCTGTCAGGGACCACATCCCGTGGAGGAGGGCAGAGACCCACGCAGCAGTGCCAGTAGGGCGGTGGTGCTCATCTCAGCTCAGCACTGCTCCCCAGCGCCAGGGGTCAGTCTCCTGGCCACACCATCAGCCTGGTCTGACAACTCAGCTGGGATTGGGGGTGTTGAAAGCCACTTGCGGTTGGTCAAGGGACTCCCCCAGCTGTCGCCACCCTGCCGTGCCCCAGCTTTGGGCCCTGGGAAGGGGGTCTTGGAATGAGAGTGAAAGGCTGAGCGCCCCTGGCCGCTGTCCACACTCCTTGTCAGTGGAGGCCCAAGCACTCACGCTGGACTGGATTCCAGAAGGGCCGACCTTTTGAAGACACGGAGGAACAGTTGACCTGGAGGCGGCAGATCAGGTGCTGTCCACCCACTTTTGTTCTGGCGGCGCCTAACTGGTCGAAACACACTTTGTGATGGCTCTGTTTCTTCTCGGCATCTTTCTGTTTCATGTTCAAGTAGTTGGTTCAGGAAATGATCCTAGGTAGCTGCCCACATTCCAAAGCGCACCTAGGTTCTGCGGGGCTGCAGTGGGCAGCTGCTCTCCCGCAGGGAGCTGGACTCGGGATAGGATCCCTGAGACATGCCGAGAGCCACCCATGGGCTGGTGGGGGGATCCCAGCCCCTCAAACTCCAAGCTGTGAGAGACTCCCTGACCAGCTCCTTCCTGGCAGAGGTGCCCACGCCCAGCCCTCCTGGCCACAGCTGGTTCTGTGGCGCTGGCATCCATGCCTTGTGTAAAAGCTGCCAGTTGGCTGGGCACAGTGGCCCATGCTTGTAATCCCAGCACTTCAGGGTAAGCAAGAGGATCTCTTGAGCCTAGGAGTTCGAGATCAGCCTGGGCAACATAGGAGACTCCCGTCTCAACAAAAAAAATTTTTTAATTAGCCAGGCATGGTGGTGTGCCCCTGCAGTCCCAGCTTCTTGGGAGGCTAAGGTAGTTGGTGAGGTGCTGGTGGGAGGATTGCTTGAGCCTAGAGGTAGAGGTTGCAGTGAGCTATGACTGCGCCACTGCACTCCAGCCTGGAGGACAGAGCAAGACTATCTCAAAATAATACAATTTAAAAATTACAAAAGCCACTGGTCACCCCTGCGGCCTTGCTTAGGAGGCTCTGATGGGTGGCTCTCAGTGAGGAGAAAGAACCCAGAGCCTCTGTATCCTGAGGCCAGCGCCCTGCCCACCTCGCAGCTCCCCGAATGCAACGCAGGCCTCCTCAGGGCCATCCATTCTTGGATGTGTCTGGTGACTTTCTTGGATGTGCTGGTGGTGTCACTGGGTTGTTGGTGAGAGGTGCTGGTGCTGTCACTGGGTACTTGGTGAGAGGTGCTGGTGGTGTCACTGGGTACTTGGTGAGAGGTGCTGGTGGTGTTACTGGGTACTTGGTGAGAGGTGCTGGTGCTGTCACTGGGTAGTTGGTAAGGTGCTGGTGGTGTCACTGGGTAGTTGGTGAGGTGCTGGTGGTGTCAGTGGTTACTTGGTGAGAGGTGCTGGTGGTGTCACTGGGTAGTTGGTGAGGTGCTGGTGGTGTCACTGGGTACTTGGTGAGAGGTGCTGGTGGTGTCACTGGGTACTTGGTGAGAGGTGGAGGTGCTGGTGTTGTCACTGGGTAGTTGGTAAGAGGTGCTGGTGCTCACTGGGTAGTTGATAAGAGGTGCTGGTGCCATCACTGGGTAGTTCAAGGCACTCACTGCCCAGGGCCATGTCCTACAGGAGGTAGGGCCTGGCACGTATCCTCTGGCAGGGACCAATGTCTGTGGCTTCCGCACAGTGACCTTGCAGTGGCCTTGGGCTCTGAACTTTGTCACATCCTATTGGCTCAGTTAGGCTCCTGCCCTCAGCACAGCCGAGCTCCCAGCAAGCCTCTTGGGTGTCTTTCCCAGATGGCTGGGAATGGCGGCCTGGCAGGGGAAACAGGGACACCCAGCCCCTCCATGTGGGCCTGCTGTCCCAGCCAGCCTTGGCAGGCTCTGGCCTGCGCTCTCCCCTTTCCGCTGACCCTCCTGTCCCTGTCAGGCTGAGACTGACACAGTATTTGCAGCCCCAGCCCCACAGTCCTCAGCCACCAGTGTGGACAGTTCAGCGCGCTCCACCTGGTCCCAGTGTTCTGGGAGACGAGAAGAGAAAAGTGCAGGTTAGAGAACAGCCTGCAACGGTGGGAGAACGTCCTAACCCTGCAGCTCCCCAGCGGTTCCGCCTGCCCATGTGCTTTTGCTGCCGACTTTCTGATAAGAATGGGGTATGAGTCGGGCAGAAGTGAGAACCACTTGGCCACACTGCCCTTGGCTCTGGTCTGTGCGAGCTGCATTTCCCCTTCTCTGGAAATCCACATTTCTTTTTTTATTTTTTGAGACAGGGTCTCACTCTGTTACCCAAGCTGGAGTGCAGTGGTGGGAACACAGCTCACTTACAGCCCCAATCTCCTGGGTTCAAGTGACCCTCCCACTTCAGCCTCATGGAGCTGGGACTACAGGCGTGCACCACTATCCCACGCCTGGCTGTTTTATTTTTTTGTTTTGCAGAGACCGGTCTACTTTGTGCCCAGGCTGGTCTTGAACTCCAGGGCTCAAGTGGTTCCTCCTGCTTTGGCCTCCCAAAGTGCTGGGATTCCAGGCAGGAGCCACCATGCCCAGCCAGAGCTCCCTCCGGACCCTGGGCCTGGGTGGAGACTTGGGCCACAGAGCACTTCCCTAGGAGTGAGTCTAACCTGGCAGGGAGGCAGGGCATGGACAGATGTCACTAATGGAGGTGGAGTCCTCACCATCGGGCCCCAGGCAGCCCCTACCCAGGCCCCCTGAAGGCGAGAAGCTGCACAGATCAAACCTGAAGGAAGCCAGGGATCCAGCATACCCTGAGGCGCCAGCTCGTTGACAGTAAATCAAAAGATCCTTTCAGTGGGGTGCCAATGCTCAGATGCCATCTGGGAGTCTCAGAGCCTTCCACAGTCCCATCAGTCTCTTCCGCATACTTTATTAAAAACTCACAGTCTGAAGTATTTCAGGGTCTTAGAAAACATACAGTCCTCAGGAAAGCTTAGTGCAGGAAGCCTTCTGCATCTTCCTGGGTAGCCAGACAGAGCCCTGCCTGCCTGCCCCAGGGTTGCTCCCGGCTGCCCGGGCTCCTGTGGACGCAGCTGTGCCAGAGGTGACTCCGCTCCAGGTAACAGCTCAAGAGTCTGAACGCAGCTTTGCCAGAGCACAGTCCCATGCTTGCTGCGCCTTCATGTCCATGTGCCATCTGTGCTGTCGTCCTGGGAGCTGCCTGACACCCCCATCCTGCCTGTGCTGTCCCTGCCTGAGGGGTGGGGACTCCAAAGAGAACGGCCCAGGAGCCCCGTCATCCGTGCTCATCTTGTTCCATTTCAACTTCTTGTTTTGAATCCTATCTGTGCATCAGCTGTGGCCCTGGGGATATAGAGGAGGGTGTAGCACCCCTGGGGTACAGGTGACTGAGTGGGCTGGCCAGCTGCTCTGCAGGGGCCACAGGTGTCCATCTGCAGCCCTGCAGGTGCTGCAAGCTTGACCTGCCTTTCTCTGGATGCCCCCATGCCAGAGCCCGGTGCTCTGCCAAGCTGTGTCCCTGGGTGTGGGCCTGGCCTGGCAGGGGGGCCACCAAACTGATGTGCACCCAGTTTGGGGCTGTCTTGAGTCTCTAGCCTCAGTGGTGATATCCACCCTTCACTGGGAGGGTGCAGCTGCCCTGCCCACCCATGCTGCTGGGAGGGTGATGGATCGGGGTGGGGGCACCCTGCCTCATCTAGGGCACGTAGGGTGCGCAGAGGGTGGTGGAGCTCGGGGGTGAGGCAGCCTTGCAGACAGTGCCTGGCTCTGCCTGTACGCCAAAGCAGCTTCTGTTGTCTGTGAATTCTGTGCCGACACTGGACCATAGGGGTCCAGCGTGGGGATCCCTGGGGCATCGGGCAGCCCAGGTGGCACAATTCACCCATGACTCCTTCCTGAAATTAAAACTTGTTTTCTCTTCTCTCAGGAATCCCTTCGCCCATGTCCAGCTGAAGCCGACGGTGACCAACGACAGGTCTGCCCCCCTCGTCAGCTGACGGCCACATCTGCAGCACTGCCCATCCGGTGGCCTCCCCCCACCCTCCCATGTAGCCTGTTCTGTCGTCATTGTGCGTGCCTGTTTAGGGAGCACCCAGCCCCTGCTGCCTGGCATGCCCCACTTGAGCCTGGGCTGGGTCCCAGCTGTTCTGGGCAGGGCCAGGCAGAGTGGGGCACAGGCCCCTGAGAGGCCGAGACCCATTGGCTGCGCTGTCCAGGGCCGAGGGGCTGCCTCTTGAGGGTACACACCTCTGGTCACATGGCCCTGGAGCCCTGGGCTGCCCCTGGGTCTAGGGAGGCTGTTCAGCCAGCTGGTGGCTGGGGGCGGGGAGCCTGGCTGCCATGCTGCTTCCTCTGTTTAATAAACAGGCTGCCCCTCCTGGACCAAGTGTGATCTGTCTGCCCAAGGGCCAGGAGGCTGGGAGCACCAGGAGGGAGAGCCCGCACCCTGTGGCTGGAATATGAACGTCCCATAAGCACGTAACTCCCTGAAGGCACGGCAGCCGTGCCTAGAGTGTGGGGCCTGGTCCCCCTCCCCATGCCCCTCGGTGGGGCGCTCCTGGGTCTCTCACTCCCAACGGCAGCATTAGGGGGCCTCCCCGGGCCCCTTCTGCCTCTGGGCAGGCCCCAGTCTCCTCCCTGCCTGACCTCCCATCCAGAGCCTGGCTGGCCAGGGCCTTCCAGTGCTCTCCTGTGGCCAAAGGTGGGGTGTCTGTCAGGTGCTTGCTGGCAGGTGGGAGCTTGCTCACTCCCGAGCTCTGCCCCAGGACTCCTGCAGGCACTGGGGAGCTCTGTTGGAATTGGGGATTTTAAAATTTCATTATCAGGTCTGTGCTCTTCAACACTGTCAGGTGAAATACAGTGTGGTGAGCTGCGCTGGTAACAGTAACTCTTACCTGGGGATCAGTCCCAAGCAGAGCTTGCTCCTCACAGACCCTCTGAAAAGGGGCTCTGGAGCCCCCAGCCCGCCTGCAGCCACTCATCCCTCGGACAGGAAGCTTCGGGGTCCGACTTCCACTCTGGGCCCAGGGACAGGCATCGAAGGGCAGGGAGGAAGCCATCCCGAGAGGCTTGTGGCTCCCCTCTCTTCGCCTGTCCCTACCAGGCCAGTTTTGTAGGCAGCAAGGGAGACCCGCAGGGTCTGCATCCCCGGTGCCTGGGCATGGTAGTGCCAGAACACCGTCCCCTCCAGCAGGGCTGCCCAGGATGGTGGGGGGAGGGGCGGGTTCCTACCCCAGCCACAGCACAGCCCCACCTGTTCAGGACTTTATCTGCAGACCTCAGAAGAAAACACACAAAGGCTTTTTTTTTCTTAGCTTCATTTCTCTTAAAAAACAAAAAAGGAACAAGAGAACATTGCACCAACATCCTAAGCCTCAAACAAAACATGAAAACAAGTCCCCTGCAAAGCAGCAAAAACCTGACATCTCTTTGGCAACAGTAACTTTAAATCACCCCATTTCCACTCGCTCCAACCACAGCAGTTACAAAAATACTCCCTGTTCTGCTCAACCCAGCTCACAGCCCTCCCCACCAGCCCTCTCCCTGCAGGCAGGAGTCCCCACAGGTACGGCCCCACTCTCCTTTGGCAGCTGGGGCACAAGACCGGGCAGTGCCCTGCAGAGGAGAGCTGCTCGCACCATCCTGCCAATGGCACCTCTAGAACGGGGCCTGCAAGGCAGGAGTGCAGCCCGAAGGCCCCTGCACCCCTGATCTTTTTGCTGCCCCCCCCCCCCCGCCCCGTGACCACAGCAGGGCCCAGGCAGGAGCAGCCCATTCCTTGGGGATAGGGTGGCTCATAGGCCTAGCTGAGTCAGTGAAGGGAAGACAGCCATGAATTTTGAGATATGGGCAGCGGAAACAGGACTGATACAGGGGTCCATCCAGGGCCACTCCTTGCCCTGAGCCACCAGGAACCAGGCAAGAGTAGAGGCTTGTGGGGGAGAAGAGGCTCAAGCCTGCCCATGCCTCATCCTGTGAGCACACTGGAGGAGCCACCCAAGGCCAGGTGGCTGCATCAGCAGACAGGGTGGGGGCCACCCAGGGGCACTGGCCCCTCTTGAGAGAATGTGTATAGACACCCACTGTGGCTCCAGGCACCCCCAGGGGCTAGCAGCAAACCCAAATGCCGGCGAATTCTGTCCTCAGGGTGAAGCATGGTCAATCTGTCGAGGGCCCAGGGCCTCTCAGCTCACCAGCTTCTCCAGGACAACGCATGGGGCAGAGGCACCCGAATGTGCTGCCACCAGGACATGGTCCACACCTTCCTGGTCACCATCTTTGCTGCTGCCTGGCAGGGGCTCCGGTGATGCCAGCCTCGAGGGGCGGGAGCTTCCCACGTCTCAAGCCTCTTTACTCTCGCCCACGGCACCTGTTGCAGGGCCTGGCAAGGAGGACAACAGCGTCCTGAGACCCCATGGCTCCCACCTGGCCTCCAGCCCTGGCCCACATACAGGCCGGCCAGGCCCCCTTCCCTGCAGCAGATCTGGCTGCGCCTAGGTGGGAGGTGGACCCATTTCTCCTACTCCTGCATCGTTGTACCCAGGCCAACAACGCTCAGCAGATGCCTCCAAGTTCTCTTTTACTGAGGCCCGAACAGGAAGGGGATGGTCAAGATCATGCAATGGCCTCCTGATGACCTGCCTGCTTGTTCGGCCACCCCGCACCAGGGGTGAGGCTGATAGTTCCACCTGTCCCCTAAGGCTGCAGCCACAGGGCAGGATAGCTAGGGAAAGGTGGGCTGGGAGGGGTGGAAGATGGCCGGGGCTTCTCCGAGGGGGTGAGAATGTCAGGCATCAGGCATGTGGGGCGGGGGCTACCCCCGTAGGGACACCTGATAGAGATGACCCATCCTGGGGCTGAAGCAGACAGTGGAGGGGTGTGGCCAGGAGCGGTGGCTCAGGCCTCCAACAGGATCCCACCTGCTGGGTCGGGGATGGTTTGGGTCTGCTGGGGCTTCTGGCTGGGAAGATTCTGGTGGAAGGGGCTGCAGCAGATCTGGGGGGTAGGGTCAGGCAGGAGAGCCAGGTACAGGCACCCAGGGTCCTGCTGGAAGGGAGAAGGCAGGCACCTGAGGGACAGGTGGGGTCCAGGCTAGGTCTGGGGCAGGGAAGGAGCTGCCCCATCCCGGGACCCAGACAGAGGGGACCCGCCCTCAGAGCTCTGTGCACTGCCTCGCACGCGGCCCTCCACCGCAGTCTCGCCCAGGCCTCACCTTTCACGGACTCGGCATCTGAGTCGGACACGTGCGTTATGGAGAAGCGGGACGCAGGCGCTGGCGACACCGTGAAGCGCGAGAAGGGCGCGAGCGTGGCCGGGGAGGGCGCGGCCGGGTCCAGGGTCGTGGCAAAGGCTGCCTTGGCTGACATCAGCGGGAAGTCGTCGTCCCACGTGAACCCACCACCTGCAACCCGAGTCACTGCGTAACTGCCGCTGCAGCTTGGGGACCACGGCTCGGTCCCGCTCCCACAGTCATGGGCCTAGCCCCGCCTCCCGTGACGTCACAAACACAGGCCCCGCCTCCCACGCTGCACGGACTGGACCCGCCTTCCATGACGTCACGGGTCCAGCCCGCCTCTACGATGGCGCGGGCTCCTGTGCGCTGCAGACCAGGTGCGCCTTCCATGACGCCATTGGCCTAGGCCCTGCCTCCCATGACGTCACGGGCCAGCCCCGCCCCTGCTCACCCTCTCCAGCCGCGGAGCCCTGGGGGGAGCTGTCATCAGCCTGTTGCTGCGGGCCAGTGGCACTGGGAGAGCCGAGGCTGCCCATAAGGAATGTAGGGGACGACTCCTTAGCGCCTGGGAAGGGCTCCCCGAGCTCCCGGGTGGGGCTTTCCTGGAGGGATCAGAAAACACCAGGTGGCTCGGCCGCCAGGAACTGCGGCCACTTCCACCTCATCCTGCAGGAGCATGACCCCAGCCCTGGGCAGACCGCAGGCAGCGGCGGCCCACCTGGTCGAAGAGGTAGACGGTGACGTCGTCGAAGAAGGACACGGCCTTCTTCTTGCGATCCAGGTCCTCGCAGAAATCCTCGGACAGCAGGCTGGGCATCTTGAGCAGGCTGCGCAGGTTGCGCGCGCTCTGGCTCTCGGCCACCACGACGGGCACCGCAGGTGCCTCCTCCTCACTGTCCTCACTGGGCTCCTGGACGCTGTAGCAGCGGAGCTCCTCATCAGACTCGTCGCTGTCCTCACTGTCCTCCTCTTCCTCCTCCGGCCGGCCCTCCAAGGCCACAGGGAGGGTGGGCAGAGCCAGGCGGAGGGGGGCTCTGGGGGTGCTTGGGCCCCCCATCCGCTTCTGCGGGGCTGGCCCTGACAACAGTCCTGGGGCCCCCTGGAGCTGAGAGCTGTCGCCTTCGGAGCTCAGTAGAACTGGGGTCAGCAGGAAAAACTGGGAGCCGCTGGGGCTGGCCCCAGGCGGTACGTCAGCTGGGTCTTGGGGCTCCAGAGGCTCTGGGCCCAGGCCGGAGGTGCAGGTGCTGGGCTCTGGGAAGGACCCTTCCAGCCGCAGTGGTGAGGGCAGTGCCTCCCCGGGGCCAGAGCCCTGTGCCTCCCTGGGAACCCCAAGCCCAAGGGAGGCCTGCATAGACGGCTGCCCAGCACTTGGCAGGCCCAGGTCTGGCTCGGGAGCTTGGTCCCCACTGCACTTATCCTCTGGGCTGGAGGTGGCCTCGGCCTCGGCCTCTAGGTCTGAGAAGTACGCCGAGTCTCGGTAGGGGTTCTTCTCGCTGAGGCCACTGAGGGAGGCAGAGAGCCGCGTCTCGGGCCCAGGGCCCTCGCTCTCCGAGGCCAGCTCCCCAAAGGCCTGGGGCTCACAAGGATCCTGCGCCTCCTTGAACACAAACTCGGGGGACTCGTAGTTCTCCGTGTCATACCCACTGTCCAGCGCTCGGGGCTGCCCTCCAGGGGGGCCGGTGGCTGATGGGCTGAAGACCTCATAGCCACCGTCACTGGCTGAGGACGGGATGTCCAGAGAGTCCAGGGAGTCAGGGGTCCCCACCTGCTTCTGCAAAGAACGGAAGGCTGGCACTGCATCCGGCCTCTCGGCCTGTGGGCCATCGCTGGATGTGTTGGTGAAGACGCCCGAGGTGGCGTCAACCGTGTCCTCATCCTCCCTGCTGGGCACCTCTGCCTCAGGGGAGTTGTTGCTGCCATTCAGGGCAGAAGCCGGCTCGGTGACGGACACCTCGCCACCAGCAGCAGGCCTGGGAGAGTCAGGCAGGGCATCAGGGGCACTGGCCTCCTCCGAGGGAAGGGGGGCTCCCTCCTTGGATGGGGAAGGAACAGAGGGAAGGGGCAGGTGGGGTCCAGCAGTGCCCTCAGCGTCAGTGGCAAGCTTGGGCTCTGCCTGGGGTTGGTCACCCCCACTACCGGCTGCTTCTGTCCAGGAGGTTGTGGCCAAACAGGAAGCAGGTGCCAGGCCCTGAGGGCATAGATGGGGGAGGCTGGGGCAGTAGCCTGGCTCCTGGGCAGAGGAGGCTGCCTGCAGCCCACGCAGAGGCTCCCCAGGGTCCGCCGGTTCGGGGGAGGCCCTTGGCATCTGCTTTGGGCTGGGGCAGCCGTCAGTGTAGCAGCCAGTGGAGCCCAGGTCCCAGGACTCTGGACAGCGGCTGCCGCTGTTGTTGTTGGCGGACACGTTGGAACGCCAGTGTCCACGCTGGGTGGCAGTGTGTGCTCCCACCTCCTCCAGCTCCTCCTCACCAGGCAGCGGCAGCGGTGGCGGTGGCGCCGCCGAGCATCCCAAGGGGGACGTGCCCAGTGGGTCCTCAAAGAAGGGCGGGCAGAAGGTGGCCACACCCCAGTCTGCATCCTTGGCTCCACCCTCTGCCAGCCTCCGGGGCCCCGCCGAGGGTGAGGGTGAGCCTGAGGGGCAGGGAGGGTCCTGCGCCAGGCTTCTGCGAGGGTAGTGGTCACCACGGCCCCAGGGGATGTCGGCGGGCGGCCCATGGCCTAGCAGCGGCTCCGTGGCCAGCGAGGCCGCTGCGCTGCCGTCAGAGTCATCCTGGTCCACGGGGGTACGGGCGCTGGGGGCGCAGCCCGCACAGTCAGGGTCGTGGCTAGCAGCCGGCGCGGCCTCCTCCAGGCGGATGAAGTACTCGCTGCCCAGCGAGGGGCTGTGCGCGCTGAGCACTGGCACCACGCCTGGGGGCGCGCTGTCAGGGTCGGGGGCGCACAGCTCCTGCAGGCGCGCGGCGTGGCCCGGGCTCGGCATGGTGGGGAAGGCCTCGGCACCGCGGCCCACCTCCCACTTGTACTCGAAATTGAGGCCTCGGCTGGTCTCAGTCACCGTCAGCACGTCGTCGCCGTCTGCGTGGAAGCCGTCACCCGCAAACTGCTCTAGCAGTGGGAAGGACGAGGCGGTGGCGAGCTCCACTGCCCCCGCCAGTGTGAGCCCTGCTGCACCGGGCCCAGGCCCCACACCGCCCCCGCGGGGCCGCAGAGCTCGCCAGCGCCGCTCGAACTCTTCCTCCGCCTCAGTGGCGCCCTTGGCACACAGGTAGGACAGCAGCAGGTGCACCTCCTCGGCCGTGGGCCGCTGCTCTGGCTGCAGCCAGCAGAACTGCATCACCTCGTACCTGCGAGGAAGTCCCACAGGGGCCACGTCATAGGTGCCTCTGACCGGGAACGCGTGGGGGGGGGCAGGAATCGGGTTCCCCTAACTCCCAGTGCCTTGGGGGCATTAAGGACATGTCCCACTTAATTCAGTGATGCCCCAAATCTGCCAAAGCAGGCCCAGCAGCGTAGGAGCAGGAGCTGGGCTGGGCACTTCCCTCAGCCTTCCCTCCCTGCACACAGGGGTGCAGAGGTGGTGGGTGGAGGCCCTACCAGAGGGGAGGGGAGGCCAGGGAGGGCTGGAAATCCAGGGGGTCAGGGTGAGCCACCTCTATTTGGGGATCAGGATACCTATCTCGGCCTGGCTATCCCGGGCAGGTGGTAGGGCCCTCACCAGCGGTCCGACAGGGTCAGCTGCAGCTGGGGCTTGGGCAGTTTGAGCTGCTGCTCCCGGACTGTGTATGCCAGCACCTGCTGGTCCGAGTGCTGTGGGTAGGGCTGCTCGCCCAGCTCAAAGAGCTCCCAGATCGTCACGCCCAGGGACCTGCGGGGTGACAGCTGTGAGCCGGGGCCAGGCATGGCCTGCCACAGCAAGGGCCACACGGGACCCCCAGGGCACCGAAGGGGCAGCTCCCGCCATCACACCAGTGCCTCAGGACCAGGGCCGGGTCCCCCCCCCGCCACCCCTCCCTGAGGACAGCCCTTCCTTTCAGCAGAGAACGTGCGCTGGCCAGGCCCAAGCCCAAGCCCAGCAGCTGTGGAGCCTGCACAGAAAGGCTGGGCTGGCCACTCCACTTGCTTATCCACTTGTTCATTCACTGGCACTTGAAGGCCAGGCACTACTTGGTGGGGGAGCTGGAGGGCAGGCGTGAAGCCCGAAAAAGGACAGGGCAGGGCCCACACCTGGAGGGGACTGAGGGAGGGGAGGGAGGAGACGGGTCAGGCAAGTGTGGGCAGGGAGGGGAACAGGCAGGGATGCACAGCGCATGCAGGCGGGTAGGCAGCTAGGGTCTCCTTCCCATGGGCTGTGGCCTCCCCTGGCTGCTTTGGACCCTGGCTATCCCGAGAGGCTGCAGGGTGAGAAAGGTGATTTGCCAAGGTGTCATGGTGGCCTTGGCCAGAGCCCTGTGATGAGACCCCAGCGGTGGGCAGGCCAGGAAGGGGCACCTTTGTGGAGAGGTGAGGATGGGAGGAGGGGCAATGTCATGATGGGGCACAGTCAAGTGTCTTGGGGAGGGGGCCTGGCCTGTGGGTCCAAACTCTGAGAGTTCCCCAGGACCAGAAGGCAGCCAGACCGAAGCCTGGAAGTGGGAGAAGCAGCAGAGGTAGGTGAGGGTAGGAATGGTGCCCGCCCCCGGGAGACCACTCCCTGAGCAGCTGGATCCCCCACTCCAGAGGCTGCACCAGGCTGGGCACTCAGGATGGGGGCTTCCAGGCTGCAGTTGTGAGATCCCAGCACCCCTGCCCTGTCACCGCCTCTGCCTGGCACACCTTGACCTACACTGCTCTGAAGGCAGCCAGCACCAGCCCTGACCATCTCCCCAGGGACAGGTAGATGTAAGGACCCCTAGCCCAGGACAGATCCCCCAGCAATGGTTAGAGTGGCCTTTTGACCCTGTACGTGTGCTCTGACCTAGCTATGGATGGATGGGTGGGTGTCAGCCCAGGGGTCCCTGGTACACCCTGTCAGGATGGTATCTCCACCTGTCTGGGGTTGCCACCCAACCAGCCACTTGGACCACTGGTGTATGGCCACCACAGGTGGCTCCAGCAGCCCCCACGACCTCACTCCCTGTGGCCACAGTTTAATACAGGTGGGCGGGTGACACTCGGCCTTGCCCCCATGGCCCCACCAGGGCCACACTCACCACACATTGCCACTCTTGGTCTGGTCCACGACAAGCAGGTTGCTGTGTACCTCGTCCACCAGCTCGGGTGCGATCCAGCGCAGAGGCACCCACAGCTGGTCGGCGGTCACAAAGTAGTCCTCCTGTGGGCACAGAGCCGGGTCACCCCCGCCGGTGCGTGCCCCACCCCTGGCACCCAGCCCAGCCTGCCCCACTCACTCTGTACTTGCAGTGAGCCAGGCCGTAGTCGCCTATCTTCACGGTCAGGTCCGCCATGAGCAGGCAGTTCCGCAGGGCCAGGTCGCTGCAGGCAGGGCAGGGGCAGGGTCGGTGGAGTGTGCCGGTGAGGGGGGAGCGTCCCCACAAGAGTCCTTTGCCAACACCTGAGTGGCTCACAGTCCAGGTGGGAAGGTGTGTTGGAGACACTGCCACTCCCACCCCTGCCCAGGGCCCTATCCCTGTGCCCAGCCCCGAGACCTGGGGCAGGACTGTGTGTAGACCTCACGTGTTCCAGTGCAGACAAGAATGGGGCGGAGAGAGGGGAGAACCTGCTGGAATCCACCCCAGACCCGTCCACGCTTCTCTGGGGCCAGCAGCCTGCTGGGCTGCCCTAGGAGCACTCCCTCCAGGACCCTCTTCCCAGCCCTACTACACCCTCACCCTCAGCTCCCTGGGAGGTGGGAATTGATGGGGAAACTGAGGCCTGGAGTGTCCCAGGGATCCTGCCAGCTGCCAGAGTTCAGGTTCAGGGTCCAGCCCTGCCACGCCCACTCAGGGCTGGAGCTCACTCTCACCTGAGCCACCAATGGCCCCAGGATTCGGGAGGGTCTGCAGAGCATGGGGGTTACCCCCGGTATGACCTCTGACCCAGCCTGCCTGGCGGGTGGTCATGTGGGTGTGAGAGGGCACAGGGTACTGGGGTAGACAGTACCACACCTGCCATATTACACCTGTGCTCAGGACTCAGGGTGCGGACAAAGCCCAACCCAGCCTGTCCCTCCCCACGTAAAGCCCATGTCTGTACCAGGGGATTGCTACAGGGCCAAGTGTCCTGGGCCTATGGGGTGGGGCTGGGGGCAGGGCGGCTGGGGCACAGCAGGCAGGTCGGGAGGCTGGCAGCTGCCCTCTTCAACAAAATCACTGATGCTGGAGTCGTGTGAGTCATCACTCAGCACCAGGATATTGTTGGAGGGGAAAGCCGTGCGGCATCTGGGGCTGGAGGGGCCACATGTCCTTCACCACTTCTTCCAGCATGTCCCCTGGGGTCCCCAGGAGCTAGGCATCCCGGTCTGAGCAGGACAGAACCCTCCCTCCCATGCAGGGCCTGCTAAACCCTCTCTTTGGGGCAGAAGGGTGGTGGCTGACTGCCTCGGGGACAGAGGACAGGCCAGCTTGACAGTACGAGATTTTTCATCTACACCTGTAAAGTGGGTGTCAAACCATCGTCTTCCCAATTATTCAAAATGTCATAAAATCCCTCTGCATAGTGGTCATTTGAAGCTGCATAAGATGGACCTGGTCAGTCCCAGCAACATCCATGAGACAGGACCCCCCTCTGCCCTTCCTTCCGGAGAGGAGCCAAGGCACAGGGAGGGGCCCTGGTCTTGGGCTTCCCAGCATGGCCTGCCCCGCCCTCACCTGTGCACATAGTTGTTGCGATGCAGGTGCAGGATGCCACAGGCCACCTCACAGGCCATGCGCTGCAGGGTCAGAGGGTCAGGCGCCATGGACTCCGCCACCCGGCAGCTCCTCAAGTAGCCCTTGAGGTCCCCCTGCAGAGAGGGGGTGGAGTCACGAGAAGGCTGGGGACTGGCCACCCTAGAGGGTCCCTGCCTACCTCCCCAGCTCCTCCACCCACACCCACAGCCGAGGGACAGCAACTGCCCAGAGCAGCCCCCTGCCCTGCACCCCCATGCCCTGCACCCCCATGCCCTGCACCCCCTGTGGCTGGCACCCTTGCCGAAGGCTTCCTCTACACTACCCCTAAGCCAGCTCTGGGCAGCAGGAGTGCCTTGTCCTGTGCTATAGAAATGCAGGGCCCAAGAGGATGTGCCTGACAGAGCCTGGGGCTGGTGGCTTAGGGTTGGCCAGCAGCCCCTGACCTGCCAAAAGCCCAGCTCCTGGGAGGGCCGATGTCAGGAGCCCAGATGCCAGCGTGCAAGGCCCCTGTCCCAGGGGAAACCAGCCAGGACCCAGCCCAGCCGAGGGCAGACTTTGCTCAGCACGGGAGCTAAGTATGTTCGAGGGAGTGGGAAGTGAGTTGGGGGAGTCATGTGCAGGCCCAGGACTCCAGGCAGTCCGGGAAAGTGGCCAGCCCCAGCCCCTGTGATAAATGCAAGCCGAGGTGGGCTGGTGGCTCCCCAACTGGCCTGGGATGGCTCTTTCTGAACCACAGGGCAAGCAGCTGGCAGCTCCCCAGGGGCACAGAGAGCCCCAGCCCAGACCTGTCCTGTGCCCAGCCCCCACAGCCCCTCCCTAGTGAGGCTGGGTTTCCCCCAGGCCTCCTCTGGAAGGCGGTGGGGCAGGGTCCCGGGGTCTTGGCTTTAGGGAGGATGTGAGGCCCCTGGGGAGGGTGTGGCACCAGATGCTGGCAGGGCAAGGGAGGAACCCGGCTCAGCAAAGGCCGAAGCATCCCCCCAGCAGCGGCTCACCAGCGGGCAGAACTCCATCACCAGCAGGTAGGGCGTCACCTCGGCACACTGGGCCAGGCACTGGAGCAGGTTGCTGTGCTTCAGGGCCCTGCAGGAGTGGACAGGCGGCCCCTGACTGGGGAGGGGGAAGGAGAAGGGGAGCGGGAGGCAGCTGCTCAGGGAAGGGTCAGGGGAGGGGACTGTCGGACTGCACGGGCCTTTCTGCCGGCTGGCCTCCCACCTGTAGGGCTGCACCTCCTCCAGGAACTGCATCTGCTCCTGCACACTGGCGCTGGCCTGCAGCTCTTTTACCACCACCTGGGTGCTGCCAACGCCCGAGTTCACCTCCCCTAGGAACACCTGTGGGACAGAGTCACTCGTGGCCACTCCACCTCCGCAAACCCAGCTTCCAGGCCTTACTCTTCTCCCACCCGCCCGGCCCAGCCTGCAGGACGGCCGTCTCCTCCTGTGCCACTCTACTCACTGCAGCAGGGGCTGTGGGTTCTGGACCCTCCAAGTGACCCCTCTGGCTGCCATATTCTGAGTCTCTGTGCTAATCTTCCCCCAAAGTCCCCCACTGCCCTCTCTCTGAGGGTCTGAAGTGAGGAAGAGGGACCCAGCTGTCTCATTTAGGCTGGCATCAGGGGGAGGCCAGGCCAAGAGGCTGCTCCTCTCCCTCCCAGGGCCCCTTCCCAGACACCTCTGACCCCAGGACCCCCTAGGGAGAAAGGGATTCAGCCAGACCCTGAAGACCTCCCCGGGGAGGGGTCCAGCAGGGCCCAGGGCCTTGTTCCTTCTGCCCACCAGGCTGGAGCACCAGCTCCCGGCTGGGCCACGCACCTTCCCAAACCAACCGTGGCCAATTTCCTTCAGGTACAGGAGGCTGTGCCGGCCCAGGTCCGTGGACTTGAGGAGCTGCACTGTAACCAAGCAGGGGGCTCAGGGACCCCGCGCAGACTCCATACCCCCAACTTCCTCACCCAGCCCCTGCTTGGCCGGTCCTGGCGAGCTGTCCTGAGTCCCCAGTGCCAGCCGGCAACCTTGGGGTCACCATCAGGAGCCGGGGTCTCTCAAGAGCAGGGGCAGCTGTTTCCCAGAAAAGCCACGGAGCTGTAGCCTCCATCCAGGCATCTTTCTGGGTAGGTCTGGAGAAGGTGCCTGAAGCCACCGGGAGAGCCAGGCCAGAGACAGCAGAAACAGAAGGGCCTGGAGCCGGACCCACCACATGGGCCGTACCAGGCAGGCAGTGTGGCTGAGCTGGAGGCTGGGGCCACAGCACAGGAAGGGCACTGGCTTGGCCCACCCCACCCTGCTGCAGACTGGCATCCCACGCCTGGCACACCAAAGGCTTCTTTGTTAGGGGCTGCTTGGCACAGCCCCGCACGGAGCACACTGGCCCATTCTCCCCAAGGCCAGGCCGGGTGAGGTCAGCAGGAGGAAGGGTCAGTGAGGCCCGGGAGGAAGGGGCCAGGGCTGGCAGAGCCCACTCACGCCTGCCTACGCCCTAAGGGATTCCCCGAATTCTGCTCCCACGCCAACCACCCGGAGGGCTGATGGGGCTATGTCTGAACCCAGCTCCCAGGAGAACCCAGGAGAGGGGGCTCCTTCCAGGCCCAGTGACCCAGAAAATGTGGAGGTGGTACAGGGCATAACCAAGGCTGTGGGCCCACCGGGTGCTGCATCCTCAGCCCAGCCTGTCTGGACACCCCTCTCACCCGGGGGCTGCAGGCCCTCACTGTCCCTGAGCAAGTATGCTGATGGACCCCCTGACCATGGGTGCTGAGACAGCTCAGAGGCCCTGGCACCAGGAGGCAGGGGGCGGCCATCCTTCTCTGTAGTCCCCAGCGGCTGGGGCCACTGCCCAGACTTCTCCCCCATGACAGGGGGCTGCTCTTCTGGCTTCATCCCGATGTCTCCCCTCCATAGAAGCACATGCCCCCAGAAAACTGAGACCAGAGCTGCCAAAATGGAGAAACAGGTAGCCACTGTCCTCTTCTGGGTCCCTGTCCCCCGACCCCAGTCCCAGGGACAGTGCTCCAGAGATGGATCTGAGAGTCTTCAGGGCCAGGTACATACCTGCCCCTGGACCCAAGGGCAGTACCCCCTTGGATGGTCCTTGGCAGCTCCCAGCAGGAGCAGCACAGAGCTCCGAGACCCCCACAGACACGTGGGAAGGGCAGAGGGCCTCATGCACTGAGTGGGCGGCTGCAGGTCTCTGGGCCCAGCCACAGATGTGCTCAGGGCAGGACTGCCAGCCCCAGTTCCTGCCTAACTGGGAACCTGCCCTCCAGGAGATGAGGCAGAGCAGGACAGGTGTGGACTGGGAAACTGCCCTCCAGATGGGGCAGAGCAGAACGGTGTGGAGGCCCTGGGCCTGAAGCTGGGGGCTTCTCCAGGTCTCAGATCAGTGTGTTGGGCTACTCAGCCCCCGATGAAGGCCAGGCTCTCAGGGCTTAGCCAGGCACAGCTCAGAGCAGGTGAGGTGGCCGAGTGGCTCCACAGTAGTAGCCCCTGGTGCCAGCAGAGGTCCAGCAGGGGTCCCTCCCACTGGCCTGACACCCCTCCTGCCTCTGTGTACCCAGAAGAGCTGGAAGGGAAGTGAGGGGGGAAGCCCCAGGCTAGAAGCTTCGTGGGAGGGGTCCTGAGATCCGATAGCTCTAGAGGGACCCCCGCCCACCACCCAGGCTCCAGGACAGAACTGGGGGTTCCTGAAGCCTGGCTCCCCAGCAGCCTCCCCAGCACATCCGCCCCATGTGAGTGGTCAGCCCGGGACCCTAGGATGGGGGCAGATGAGGGTGTGACAGAGGCCCCACCTGTACCTGCACACTGGGGTCAGCCCCACCCCTCTGCCCCTCCCCCAGCCTGAGTGAAAGGCCCATTCACTGCCCGCCCACAGGGACCCCACCAGTTCTCCTCCTCCCACCAGGCACAATGGAGCCCGTGTCCCTAAGGGCTGGCAATCAAGGGGGCAGGAATCTAGGGTCAAGCATCCCCAGACTGCAGAAGAGCCCCTCCCCCCAGCACATGGCTGTGTCCAGCACCAGAGAGCCCGCACTCCCGCCCCAGTGCCCACCACTGCCCCTGTGCACAGCAGCCCCTCGGGCACAGGAGGTTGGAGGCTGAGGGCTGTCCCGGACCCTGCCAACCCCCAGCTGCCCCCCAGGCCCAGGAAAAAGAGGTACCTGCACCTTTGGCCCCACGGTACAGCCTGGGACGCAGCATGGGGAATCCAGGGCTGTGCACCTTGTCAACCCCACATGCCACCCCAAGCCCTGTGCTGCCCCCACTCCAGAGCTGAGTCCTTGAACCTCCCTGGCTCCCCCAGGCCACACCCAACACCCAGCACCTGGGCCCTGAAGGGAGGTGCCCCGTCTCCCCACCTGGCACTCACCTGAGCGCCCCGGCTGCTTGGCCATGGGCAGGGACACCTCTGTGAGCGGCAGGACATACACATCGGGCCCATTCTGTGCCGTGGTGGCCGGGGAGCCCTGTGCCAGGTCGGCCGAATACTCGTCCCCCTCCGCATTCTCAAACTCCTGCAGGCCGGGCCAGGCAGCGTGAGCAGGGCTTCCCGCAGGCCAAGGAAGGGTGTGGCTGGACTTGGAAAGGTTCCTTTCTTCCAGGGCTGAGCTCCCAGGGCCGTGCAGGAGCCAGTGCTCGCCCAGAGGTGGAGCCCCCACCCCTGTGAGCCAACGGGCCCAGCATTCCTGCTAACTGCCCTCCCATCTGTCTCCTCTTGATGACCCCCACACCCCCCACCAGGGACACAGTTGTCCCATGAGGGGCCCAGGGCAGATCCCAGAGCCAAGAGGACCCAACTCAGACTCCAGAAAGGGCGCGACAAGCTGTAGGCACCAGCGCTTCAGCCTGGCCTCAGTTTCTCCATCTCTCCCTGGTGGGCAGCCCAGGCTGAGCCCCACCTTGAGGCCTGAGGGCCCACGGGCAGGGAACCAAGGGACAGAGATGAGGGGACTGAGGCCAGCTGGCCCTGCCCATCCAGAATCAGCCCCCAACCCCTCTCACCCACCCTCGTCCCCAGCAACACCTCACTCCGGGCCCTGCCTTGGGTCCCACCCTCCCATGGGGCAGCTGGGGGGACAGGAGTTCCAGCACCCCCTGCCCCATAGTCCTGTGGGAGAAGCCACTAAGTGCTCCCACCCCTGCTAGAACAAGGAGCATTGCTGGGTACCTGGGAGCCAAAAGCCCACCGGCCACCTTCACCCTGGGTAGCCCACCTGCCAGCACCATCTGCCCTGGTGGCCCTGGACCTTCACCTGGGGCCGCACCTGTCTAGGGAGACCCCACCCCTAAGTCCAAAGCATGTTCCTGCGCTCAGAGCCAAACTCTGAAGTTCTGGGCGCAACTGAAAGCAATGGCTCCCTGCACACAGGGACAGCCCAGTCCCTGAGCACTCAGTGCAGCCTCTGTCCCTCTCAACAACCCCACTGTGGGGAAACTGAGGCTCAGAGGGGTCAAGGGGCTTCCCGCTAGAGCCTGGCCACCCCCCGGACTGGGGAGTCCAAGGACTGGCAGGTTCAGAGGGAGGGAGGCCACGGCTCCTCACACACTACTGTGACCCTGATGAAACCGCCCTTCCCTGGGCTGCAGAGAGAGGGGTGGGCAGCTCTATCAGTATCCCAAGGGGCCAGGCCCAGCCTGTACTCTCAAGCACACAGCCATTCAGGGATGGGGGACACAGCTGATGCGTGGGCAACTCTCCCTCCCCAGGACCCAGGAGACCACCCTAGCAGGCTCCGTTTTGGCCCTCCAATCCCAGCCCCAGCCCGCCCCCACCCATATGGGCTCTGTGGAGGGGCCCAGGACACAGACGCCGTCTCTCCCTGGGGTCAGGCCCTGGCTCCAGGCATTACCTGCTGCCCGGGGGCCAGCTGGGTCCTGCTGATGCAGCGTGCGATCAGGTAGCACAGGGTCAGCATTGGGGCTTCCCAGCCCCTGCCCCAGCACAGCTCCCCGCCAGGGAGCCCAGCGCAAACCCTCAGAGCCCAGGAGGGAGCCCTGTGTAGAGGCAGGCCTTCCCAGGGGCATGCTGGTGCTGGAATGTTCCGGGCACCATGTTCCTAAGGAGGTGAGAGGGCGCCGAAGGAGGGGCCATGGCCAGCACTTGTGTGGTGCCTTGTTCTCACAGCTCCTGAGGAGGGGCCGCTTACACAATAGCCCCACACGACCCTCCCAGGCCCCCTCCATTCCTGCCGCCCCCCCCAGACCTGGAGGCTCTGGTCTCAGGATCCCGGGAAGGCGCCAGTGGTGCCTGACCTAGACCCTGGCGCCAGCAGGTCAGAAGCACGTCCCCAGGGCAGAGTGGGGGCTCTGGGCAGGAGCACAGGCCCCGTAGCTCCTGGGGCCACAGCTTTGCCACCCAGGCACACAGCTCCTCACTGGTTGACGCGGCCTGGGCACCTCAGAGGGCTCTGGAAGGGTGAACGGGCCACAAATGTGGGCTTTGGAAAAGGCAGAAGCTGAGTTCAGTAGCCTCATCTGCCAGAGCAGTGGGCAGGGCCAGCTCCCCTGGCCCACTCTGTGTCATGACATACCAGGACAGGGAGGACTCTGGGACTGTCTCTAAAATGCGGGTGACATGGCTGGGGCATGGGTCACTTAGTGGGAAGGCGCCCGTGAAATACAGACAGTGGGGGCACTGTGCATACTGCAAACGCCTCCCCCTGCCCTGACCTCTTCTTGAGTGGGAATCTGACCTTGGCCCAGGGGTGGGGCTGACCTCCGTGGGCATGTGGACAACCAGAGGTCCAGGCTGGGTATCATTTGCTCGTCAGCAGGAATGGGACCCATGGAGGATCCGGGAGGGGTGGGCGGTGCTGGCTGGGTTCTTAGCTCCGAGCTTTTCTGCCTGGCCCTCCCTGCTACTCAGACTTACAGCTGGAGGTAGGATGGGGCTTTGTGGGTGGGAGGAGCAGAGCTCGGCACATGTCCCTGGCGAGGGTCTTGGCCCTGGGCCTCAGCCTCCAGAGGGGCAGCCTTGTGAGGCCAGGCCAAGCACTTGGCAAAGCTCCCTAACCAGCAGGCTGGGCTCCAGCACCACACAGCATCCCCTCCAAAGGGTACAAGATGCCCTGGGCAAGGTGACTCTAAGTGGGGAGAAGGTTTCTGTACCAGGAAGCTTGTCTGGGCAGCCCGGGCTTCCCTTTGTGGATTACATCAGCAGGGAGGTGAGGGCCCTGCAGGGGCAGCCCCTCCACCAGAAGCCAGGGGCCTCTAGGGAGGCCAGCCCCTCCCCACACCAGCTCCAGAGCCCGACGCCCCTATAAGGCCATCCTCAGCCTCTGTGAATGCTCACAGGCCCAACCCCAGGCTTCAGGGGAGCATCAGGCCCTCACAGAGGACCTCAGAGTTGGAGAAGCTGGGGCAGGTCCCTGAGGAGGGGCTGTGGGGTTCCTAGGCCAGGGTCCATGTGGTCCCCAGGCGGCCCCACAGTGACTACAGCCACCCAGCAGCCACCTTGGTGGCCCCGGGAGGGAGAGCAGCTCAGGGTCGAGTGGATGCTACAGGCCTCGCTGCGGGATCCCCACCAGTTCCCACGGCCCCCAGGCCTCACCTTGAACCCAATGCTGCCCTTCTTACAGCACAGGCAGGCCAGCATGAGGACGATGACAGCAAAGAGCCCGGAGAAAGACACGGCCACCACGGCAAGGGAGGACGGCCAGGACAGCTCGCTGAGCGGGGCGCCGTCTGCAGGAGAGCAGCGTGGTGAGGGCGGCCTGCTCCAGGCTCCGCAGCCCAGGCTGCAGCACGGGCTGGACCTCAGCACCCTCACCCCTCACCCCAGTGTGGCCAGTGGGTGGCCAGAGCCTGCCATCCTCTGGACACTGAACACTGCTCTGGTCTCACCAGTGGGACATGGGGTTGGCAGAGTGCCCAGCTCCCAATTCTGGGATCATGGACACCCCTTAGAGATGTCAGGACTGCAGGGGACCCCCATCTCCCTCCCAAATCCTGGTCACCCCATATTGCTCCTCTGGGTCTGGGAGGGGGACATGGACTCTGTCAGACACGGGAGACCATAGTGCTGGCTGCTGGCCGTGGGCCAGACTCTGAACAGTGGAAGCCAAAGGCCCTTCCAGCCTCTGAGGTGCGGGGACCCTGCTGTCCCTGAGAAGTTGGTGCTGCCTGTGCCTGGCAGCAGGGCTCCCCATGCCACCTGGTGCCTCCAAGCCATCCCCTTGCCAAACCCACCGCCACGCCGCTCTGGTGCCATTTCTGTCCTGACGACCTTGGGGAAACCCTCTTCTGCAGCTGCTGGTCCACAGAGCTCCTCATCCCCAGGGAAAACTGACAGCACAGCACGCTCCCAGCACCCAAGTCTTGAGCCAAGCCCCACTTCCAAATTAAGACACCTGAGCTGAGCCAGGCTGCGAGGAAGCTCGGTCCCTTTACTGCCCACAGGGTGGCATGGTGGGGCCAGCCTGCCTGTCCCCTGGGCAGGGGAGGGCACACTGAGCTGGTGGCTCCATCCCCTAAGCCTGCCCTGCCCCACCATCCAGCTCCAATCCTTGCCCTTCCCCAAGAGCTCTGTGTCCAGCTGTCCTCCACTTGGCCCTGGAGGTTTTCCAGCCACCCCCAGTGTCTCTTGCCACCGAGCACCTGCAACTTCTCAGTTCCCAATACCCCTCCAGACCCCATCACCTAGCCCAGCACACCCCCAGGGGGTGGCCATCCCTACCCCACTGGACAAGCCAGGAAACAGGGTGTGCAGGGACCTGGCTGCCCAAGGCGGCCCAGCTGACCTAGTGTGCTCTGCCAGGGCTGCAGGCTACTGGGGCATCCAGGAAGGCTGCCTGGAGGTGGTGTGAGCTAAGATGGTGAGTGCAGCCTGGGCTTCCTGCTCAGGTCTCCAAGTTGTTCCCACACCCACACAAGGGGAAGAGGGACCCAGGGTGGCTTGGAGTGAGGACCAGACAGGGCTGTGGGGATGGCGGGGCAGAGGCAGCCAGTAAAGCAATACCGGGTCACCGGGGCAGGAAACCAGCTCTGCCACATGTGGAGAAGAACCCAACAGGTGGGGCCGTGCTCCCATCATGCAGATGTCCCGGGCCAGGTTTCTGGGGTATATGGGCATGTGCATACGTGTACATGCGTGTGAGGACAGCCCACACACTGCGTAAGCCCCCCTGCATTTCACACCCAAACAGCAGGAACACAGGCAGGACTCACGTGGCACTCAGCAGGCCCCACCCCCCGAAGCAGCCAGCGCCCTCTAGGACTGCAGGTCGCCATGGCACCTGTGTCCCATGCTCCCTCTGGTGCCTGCCTGGCAGCAGTCCACTCCCCTCTGCCACCTTCGCCCACACCCTCCTGGGCCTTCTCCTGGTGGGCCCTTCCTTTGTGGGACACACTGGCTAGTGAAGGAGCCCATCTGTGGCCTTGCGGCTGGATAGGCCATCAGCTGGGCAGAGCTGCCGCAAGGGGCTGCACCTCAGCCTCCTCCTCAACCTCCCCTTCAGACCCCACCTCAGCTGCCCTGAGCTCTGCTCTCATGACCCATCCCCTCCCTGGTTCTTCCCTGCATCGAGGCAGCTGGCCCTGGGGCACAGCCCTCCCACGAGTCTCCTCTCACATCTAGAAGGCCCGGGTTCCAGTGCTGGGTGGCCATGGGGGGGTCATTCAGCAGCACGTGCTGACTCAGTGGAGGGCGGAGGTGGGCAGGGGCACTGGGCAGGCCTGCCAGTGAGCACAGGGCCACATCCCTGAAGGTGGATGTGGAGGGGTCGAGGATGGCCACACAAGCCAGCCAGAGGGCTGCATGGGAAAGGCGGAGCACCGAGCTTTCCAAATCCACGGGAGTGGTTAGTTTCTGGAGCCCCACCAGTGCCCACCAGAGCAGCAGAAACAGCAGCCCCCATCTAAGGGTCAGAGCAGCTGTCCCAAGCTCCACCCAGAGACCCTCATCAGAACCACTTGTTAGGCATGGTGGCTCATGCCTGTAATCCCAGCACTTTGGGAGGCCAAGGCGGATGGATCACCTGAGGTCAGGAGTTCGAGACCAGCCTGGCCAACATGGTGGAACCCTGTCTCTACTAAAAAGACAAAAATTAGCCAGGCATGGTGACGCGAGCCTGTCATCCCAGCTACGCAGGAGGCTGAGGCAGGAGAATTGCTCAAACCCAGGAGGCAGAGGTTGCAGTGAGCTGAGACTGCGCCACTGCACTCCAGTCTGGGTGACAGAGTGAGACTCTGCCTTGAAGGAAAGGAAAGGAAAAAGGAAAAGGGAGGGGAGGGGAGGGGCAAGGAAGGGAGAAGGGAAGGGAAAAAGGGAAGGGAGAAGGGAAGGGAGAAGGGAAGGGAAAAGGGAAGGAAGAAGGGAATGGAAGGGAAGGAGGGAAGGGAGAAAGAATCACTATCACCTCACTTTGCAGATGAGGACACTGGGGTCCATGGAAGTGAGGTGGCTTGTCCAGGAAACCAGCAAGTCCAGGCCCTGTCCCCGGGCAGAGGAGGAGGGTCCCACAGCCTTTTGGCCGCAGACTGATGCCTCCCTCAGGCCCACCAGCCTCTCGGCCCTGGCAGCCTCAGACAAGCGTTCCTGACACCACTGCACTCCCAGAGCCTTCTCTGTGCCCTCCTCAGCACAGAGCCACCTGCTGCCTGGGCTCTGACCCCAGATCCCAAGGGCCAGGCCGAGTGCCCTGGGCACCATGATACCTGTTGTAACAATGCAGCACACATATGTGCCCACATGTGTGCATGCATGAAAACATATAAAATGTACATGCACACGTCACATGCATGCAGCCATGTTGTGACCACGTGCAGACACACTGTACACAGGCCACAACACAGGAAGATTCATGCCCACACATGCCTATGCATGCATACACCCATGCACGTGCACAGATGCATGCGTACATACCCATACATGCATGCTCACACACATACCCTGGCACACACAGGAATGCATACACACATCCCATTGTTCAGTCCCCACTACAGGCTTGCTCAGGAGGTATCATCATCCACATTGTACAGGGTGAACACTGAGGCTCAGGGATGTTACAGATGGCTGCAGGGTGGCCCGGCCCTGTTGGCTCCACTGCCCTGCTTGCCCCTGCACGAGCCACGCAGGAGGCCACACTTATGTCCTCAGGACCAGACCATGCCAGCAGGTGGGGAGGCCTCTGTGGGGTCTGCTTGCCTGTCCTTCTCATTAGTGTCCCCCTCTTCCCAGATGCGACAAGGAGCACCTGGGACCTCACTCAGCCCGGAAACTCATGCCAGGAAGATACAGTTTCACATGGCTTTGTTTCTGAAACTTCTTGACAGGCCATTTAATCCAGCATCCCACGCTTCAACCCTCTGCTACAGCACACCCCGCATGGCGTCCCCCAGGCTCTTCCAAGCCCAGCCTGGCCATGCAGTCCCTGGTCCCCTCCCAGGCCTCAGGAGAGTTCAAGCGAGGAGCCGAATCGGAAGGTCACTTCGAAGCAGATCCGTCAGCTCTGGTGACCCCTGCCAATGCCCTGGCCCTCTGTAGTACTGCTGAGGCTGTGGGCAGCCCTGCCTCCTCTGCAGCTGGGCTGGAGGATGCCAGGCACACTTGTCTGAGGGTGCCAGGGCTGAGAGCTGGTGGACCGAGGCTTTCCAACACCACTGTCCAGGCAAGGAACTGGGGCCTCACCCATAGGGGGTAAAATGCAACAGGATTGTCACCGCCCATGAGTCCTCTGTCCACTGGTGCTGAATCGGCCACCCCAGGACCCCCAAGGGTGACTCTATTTCTTTGTGCTTTAGAGGTGGGGTCTGTGTTGTCCAGGCGGGAATGCAGTGGTATGATCACAGCTCACTGCAGCCTCGAACTCCTTGCCTCAAGCAGTCCTCCCCACCCGGCCTCCTGTGTAGCTGGGACTACAGAGGTGTCAGACATGTGTCACCCAGCCCGGCTGGTAACACTGCTGCTCCTGCTGCGTCTCCTGGTCAACATTCTGCTGTGCGGGAGGGCAAGGGCCTTTACCCCACTTTTTTTATACCAGTGCTCAAGACACTATCATTCCCATTTCCAGTGAGCTGTCATGTGTTACTATAATTGTTTGGTTTGATTCTCAAATTGACCCCAATTCAGTAAGAGGACACCTGGCATATGCAGAATGATGGCTGTCAGAGCTGTCCACCTTCTGATCCCCGAAACATGAGATTCTGGGCACCTTAGGTGGCAAAAGGGATAGAGGTAAAGACCAGCGGTGGGGCTGTTGGCTTGGATTGCCAGGCGAGCCAGGGTCATCCCGAGGGTCTTTGGATGAGGGAGGCAGGAACTGGAGATGAGAGAAGTGACCGTGAAAGCAGAGGCAGGGCCATGAGGCCCATGTGTGTGGCTGCGAGGAGCTGAAATGGCCAAGGGTGGCCTCTCCCCAGAGCCTGGCCTTCACGGCATTGACTGTAGCCAGTGAAAGTGACTTTGGGCCGGGCCCAGCGGCTCACGCCTGTAATCTCAGCACTTTGGGAGGCCGAAGCGGGTGGATCACCTGAGGTCAGCAGTTCAAGACCAGCCTGGCCAACAAGGTGAAGCCCATCTCTACTAAAAATACAAAAAATTAGCCAGGCATGGTGGCATGTGCCTGTAATCCCAGCTACCCAGGAGGCCGAGGCAGGAGACCTGCTGGAAACTGGGTGGCGGAGGTTACAGTGAGCCGAGATAGCGCCACTGCACACTAGCCTAGGCGACAGAGTGAGACTCCAAC